TATCTATACTAATATTATAAAGAGGTAAAATTTGTTTGTTTGTTTGTTTGTTTGTTTGTTTGTTTGTTTGTTTGCAGGGAATAGGCTCCGGAACTACTGGTCCGATTTAAAAAATTCTTTCGCCGATAGAAAGCGATATTATCGTGGAGTTAAATAGGCTATAATTTATTTTGAAAAAAAATAGGGATCCGTAAGAAAATAGCAATATTGTCGCATATAAAGTGAGTTGCTACCTCATCACACTGACAAACACGCTCCCATAGCATTTTAACTCAATTTTTGTGTTCACTGTGAAATTGTGAAAAAAAAAGAATTTTTATTCAATTTAAGTTGAACTGTGAAAATTATGTGGATCGTGCATTTGAGGATAAATTCACCACTCTGTCCATAGTCCAAAATGCTTAGAGGACGACGTGCAAACATTGGCCGCAGACATCCAAGCCAGCAGCCAGTATATTCACAAAACTTAAGCGAAGAGAGACAAATGAGCACATGGAGATCATTGGCATCATTCAATCGCTTGGCATTCCAATATGACCCCACTGCGAACTACAGTGATAATGAAAATTTAGATATTGGACCAATGGCGACTATATACCGATATTGCAGTGCGTTAAAGTTTAAAAGAGAAACGGCTGGATTGTGCTGCGCAAGTGAAAAGTAAAACTGGAAAAGTGTTAAATCACCATCTGTTGCAACATTGACTTTTATGTTGTTAAATTGTGTTGACCAGCGAAGCGGACACAGGACCTCTAGTCACAAATAAATTGAATAGTTTTTAAACAGTGGATTTCCAATTATTTCAAACTGATTATTAAAAAAATATTTTTAATAGCAGTTAAAAGCTTTTTTACAGCAACCATCCTTCGAAATTCTATGAAATGTGAACCGTAAAGGGTGTTAGTCCAAAAACAAAAAATTCCAGGAAAATATACACTCGCAAACGGAGTTTTTGTTATTGTCAAATCTTTAACAAATGATATTTACCCAGTAAAAATTCTCCTATTAAATTACAGGACACATTAACAAAGAAGTGTGATAGTCCCCATAAGAAATTCCTAGGAAACACACACCCCAAATTAATTTTACGAAATTGTAAGAACCCCATCCCACAAATCACATGACATTTCAAGGACGATTTTGAGCTTATTTTCTTCAAGTGCAAAGAGTCGTATGGCTTCCACTTTTTCACACTGCTCAAGTGGCCAGCGGAGAGCAGCATCCTCGAGCATAATGAACACTTGACTCCTTTGGCTTTTGCTCGTCCTGCGGATGACAATGCCCAGTGCAAACATTTCACCGCAGGCTAAGACAAAGGGCTGACAAAATGAAGCGAGTGGTTCGCGAGACCCCGGGTCCTTGAGGTTTCAAGTGGTCTTTTGAGGCGCAAAATGGGCAGAGCCGACCGAACTGAGCTATAAAGTTCCCGATGCTCTCCAATTGACCCAAATAAGGAATGCAGCAGCGGCCTGGTTGTGAATTCTTTATGCCTTCACTTGGCAGCCGGAAAGTATGCGAGCGATGCCAGCTTACCTGTTTGAAGCCATCCCGGCGGCCATCAACATAAGTTAATACAACTAAAAGCCGCCTGGAGGGTTTCTGCACGTTCCGCTGGCATTCATTTGCCTATGTAAATTGTGGGGCCCGCATAAATTACAAAATTAGTCGAAACACACGAAATTCGTGTCGTCATCTCCTGCGACTGCGACTGGCTGTATAAAAACTATTTCAATTTAAATTCTTATCGTATCGCAAACTAGGCAAATGAGTCAGGATATCTAGCCATTGTCAATCTTTAAGAGTCCTTGTTCCACCTTGTTTCCGGTGTCCTTGTTGCCAATGGCCGGGCCATAAGCCGCTTAGCTTTTACTATTGCCAGGCCTAACTTTTAACGTTTCGACGCCTTAAAGATTGCCTTCGGGCTTGGGGCTTCGTTTCCAGTTTTTCAGCCACCTCCTCGACAGTTCCACATCCCCCCACATCGCCTTCTGGTATCACATATCTTACTTAACGTGCCTGCGAGACTTTTTTCATTAGGATAAGTCTATTTTATGCCAAGCATCCGCCCCACAAAACACACACACTCACACACATAACCCATGCACACATGCCACATGGCGCACATGGAAGTTTTGGATTCGATTCCGGGATCCTGGGAATCGGGAGTCGGGAGCCAGGAGTCTGGGATCCTGGATGGCCTCGCCTTTGCCAAAATGTTTATTCGGCTCCTCGTGTTATTTATTTTATGGCACCTTTCGCCATACTTTATTTTTCTGCTATTTGGCTGCTGCTTTTCGGCTACAGCTGTGACGCCTGCTGCTCCTCGATGCGATGGCTGCTCATCGATATAACAATATCCTTTTGATGTAATTTCCGCTTATGGCTTATTTTCACAATGGCAGGTGTAAAGGTAATCGTTGATTGTAAGTGCCTGCCAAGCCAGCCAGCCAGCCGACAGGATTTTATAAGCTAGATATCTGTGTGCGAATGTCGACCGACCGACTGTGTGAGCTGGTGTGAGATGATGATTGTGTGTGTTTGTTTGGCTTTTATGTCAATTCTCAATTATATTTCAATCATTTTTATTACATCGCCTAATGCCCAAAGAAGATTACTTTCCATCATAAATAAGTTATAAATTTAATTGGAAAAGCCATCTCTATGTGCTCTGTGTTTGTGTGTTCGCCATTTTGGATCGGTTCCATGTGTGTGTGAGTGAGTGTGCAAGAGATGGGGAAAAATCTGTGTCTGCGGCTGTCTGTATCTGTGTTTCTGTATTATTCCACCTCATTTCCGTCGCTTAATTAGTTGCTAAATTATTACCACTCCGAACCGAAGCGGCCGCATCTCAAGTGACAGCCAATCGATACGATACGATGCGATACGTTGCTGTGACCTGCGTCGATCTTTATTGTTGCACATTTGATTTCAATTGATTTGCGGCACGCTTGACACTCGTGACACGCGACGAAAACAATGCCAATCATGGCTGGCAATTCGCGTTAATTTCCACATGGAATAAGACCGCATAATTGCGGCCCTCGTTCCACTGAAAATGGATGCGTATACGCCGCGTGGTTTCCAAATATATAAAGCATACGCCCCGTTGCGCGGAAAAGGCGACCCTTGTCCGCTAAATTAAGTGGGCTTCACTGTAACGCGTCGCATGTCAAAAAGATTTCCACAATAAAAACCTTTTGCCATGATATGTTTTTTGTTGATTTGAAACATTGCCTTTAAATGTTTAACGCCATTTTGGTTCTGTTACTTATTTTATTTGTAATGCTAAAAGCAAATTTCATAGCAACTATTTTGTCCTAAAATGTTTTGTTTATTAAATCGATATGATGGCATTTTAATGGTGTACAATATGTTTTGCAATCAAAAATAAATGTAACAAATTTTTGAATAAATATTCCATTCGTAAACCATTTTTTCCGAGTGCCGAGGAGGGCAAAATAAAGAATTCTTAATTAGCATATAAATTGCAGGCAGATGACCATTTAACACTTAAAGACGGCCGAAGAGAGATCAAAGGCGTGTGTTTTAAATCAAAAGGAAATAAAACTGAAATGTCATTACTTACCAATAAATTTAAATCCACTTGCTTGAGCTGAATTCCAAGAGTTCGTTCGCCATTCAGGTGTTAAGATATACGGCAGCACGCACCGTGAGTTACGGGTTGCTTTATAAATAAATACATCGGTGGCCCACTTCTTGTTGACTGCTTTTTTCTTATTTTGGCGCAGCTGCTTGTTGCCAAGGTGCTGATTGCAATTACTTGTGTGTGACGACGACGACGACCCGTTACTGGATTGCAGAGTGCCCAAGCGGATTGAGGAGCGGAGTGCGGAAAGAGGAGTATGGAATATGGAATACGGAGTCCGCACTCCGGCGGAGTAGCACGCCCACTCACTGGCAGCCGCATGTTTACGGCCGACCACATCAGCTGTGTGGTGAAGCCTGAATGCCACTGGCGAAAGCAACAGGCAATAATGCCGTACTCGCTGTCCCGGCGAGCACTTCGCCAGGAAATCGGGAGTCCGGGGCACCCAGGGAACCCTCACCCGTACTCAGACCCGGACACGGACACCGAATCCGCAGCCGATGAATTGCGTGACTGTGCAAGTGAAGCTGTGGATATAATAAAAGTAATTAACAAGTGTTTGCGCTGCATGATGCGGAATTTCAGGCGCGGATAAGCGAGCATACGTGTGGCATATGGAATACGGCGTAGGTGTGCGGTCCTCTGAATACGCAATTCGCCATTCGGAATGGGAATCGTGCTTTAAGTGCCGCACAAAAAGTCTAATAACGAGCCCCGGAGACACAAAAGGGCCGGCGATTGGAACCCATTTCCCAGTGTAGCCGAAAATCTCTCACAAATACTTTTGACAGTCGGGGATATTTGATGCTGAAAAACAACAGAACGTAAATTGAAAAGTTTTGCACTTAATGCAGGTGTGAGTGTGAGAGTGGGTGTTCGAGTGTGTGAATGGGTGTGTGGGTGGGTGCTCGAATGGGTTTTAGGGCGATTGGAGCAGCTGTGTGCGTGCGATTGTGTGTTCGCAACTCCGCTTGAAGGCCCCAAGCTGGAAATCAATTTGTGTGCATTTATTGAAAATTGAATTTCCAATGAGCAGCGGCGCGTGCACACATGTTGCTCCTGCACGACGAAGCCTCATCCTTGAATTGACTACCGAAAATGGGTCTAGCCCGACACCGGAGGGTCAGGGATCAGGGGTCCAGGGGTCAGGGGTCAGGCTTGTTCCAGCATAATTGCCATGTAAAACGGTTTGTTCTGCTGCCGCTTACTTAATCCCTCCAATTTTGTTTCAGCCAGTTTCGGAGAACTCTAAATTCAGCACAGTAAAGCAAACTTGATAATCACAAAGAAAATGGTCGATTTTTAAAGTTATCTGATGGGTGCTTTTAAAGCTATTCGAGCATATTTTTAAAGGAATAGTCGCCCTATTTCCATTTGATTATAATTTTTTAACACAAAGACACTTGCAAAAGCTGCCATGAATAATCAAAATTTGTTTAGTTTTATACTATTTTCATTGCTTTTTACCTGCCATGCAAGTCCCGTCAAAAATCGAACTAAGCGCATATCCAATGGCTTCTACGACGAAGAAGCTGTACGACTGGGAAAGTACGTCGTCTCTATAAGGACGAGAAATGCTCAAAAGTATTTCGGGGACAATCACTTCTGTTCCGGAGTCATCCTAGCACCAAAATTCGTATTAACATCCGTACACTGCCTAATAAAGTGAGTATAGAGTATATTTATAAGAAAAATCCATAATCTTCTTTCGTATTGTGTATTTTTCAGCCATCGGAGGGTTTTTTATGACAGTCGTGTGTATCTTATCGTGGCTGGTACTACCAATCGACTTAAATATGTTCCGCACAGGACATTTGTAACCCTCGTTAAAAAAATTTTTGTGCCCGTTAACTTCACAATGTACAATAAACAAGATGTGGGATTATTACATATCAAAACTCCATTTCCAAGGGATAACGATTATATCAGAATAGCTAAATTGCCCGTTGCACCTCCTCCGGCCGGTCTTCACTGCGAAGTCATGGGATGGGGTCGACTGTTTCCGGTATGTGGGATATTTTATTTGCAACTTAATATAGTATTATTGAAGACTGATTCTTCCTAGAAACCGTTACTAATATGATTTTTTTAGGGCGGTCCACTTGCAGCGCACTTGGTTTATATCGATGTAAAGCTGATTTCAACCGAGAGATGTGCCAAACTCCTGAATGTCCCCTTCATTGGCGACCTATTGTGCGCCATTGACGAAAAAAATACTACTAAAAAACAACCCTGCTTCGGGGATTGGGGGGCTCCATTGATGCACGGCGATATAGTCTATGGAATCGTTAGCAATATCGTTGGATGTGGCTCCGTCAACCAGCCATCTGTTTACACTGATGTCTTTGAAATGGTGGATTGGCTCAATGGCAAAATGGAGAGCGATACGGTCAGCGTTTTCTTTTTTATTGGTTCTTTACTGTATTTCGCTGCAGCATTTGTTCATATAGGATCACTTATGCTTTTTAAATTGTTGTAAGAAAAACTATGTAAAACTACTTCTGTAAGGTTGTCTTCACAAGTGTTGTATCAAAACTGAATGCTCACATAAATTGTTGCACTAGAACGTCAGCAAAATATAAATACTCAATAAAAAAAACTATAAAACTAAATAATTGCAAGTATTATAATTCGTGTACGGTTATTGTAAAGAGGATTTAGAAACAAATGCATAATATCCAATATTTGAAAAAGTTCTTTTTGTTAAGAAGCCATTTAATATTTCCTAGTAACCTTGTTGCCATCTGACAAACATTTTTAACACAAAACACTTGCAAAAGCTGTTATGAATATTCAAAATTTGCTTAGTTTTATACTCTTCTCATTGATCTTTACGTGCCATGCAAATCCTATCCAAAATCGCGTTAGGCGCCTATCCCATGGCCTTTTCAACGAAGAAGCTATACGACTTGGAAAGTTCGCCGTTTCTATAAGGACAAGAAATGCTAAAAGGTATTTCGGGGACAATCACTATTGCTCCGGCGTCATCCTGGCGCCAAAGATCGTATTAACTTCCGTATACTGCCTTATGAAGTAAGTATTGGGTATATTTATAAGAAAAAATCATTCTTAATTGCGTATTTTTCAGCCATCGTAGGGTTTTTTATGACAGTCGTATGTATCTTATCGTGGCTGGTACACCCAATAGACTCAAATATGTTCCGGGCAGGACTTTTGTAAGCCTTGTTAAAAAAATTTTGGTCCCCACTAGTTTCACATTGTACAATAAACAAGATGTCGGATTGTTATATATCAAGAACCCATTTCCGAGGGATAATCCCTTTATCGGTATAGCTAAATTGCCACATGCACCTCCTCCAATGGGTCTAAAATGTGAAGTCATGGGATGGGGTCGAATGTTTTGGGTATGTTGGTTATTAATACATATATTAAATATATATAAATTCTTTAATTTTGAGAAGCAAAAACATAAAATCAATACACTGTATTGAATTTTTATACCCTTGCAGATAAAAGGGTATTATAAATTAGGCCAGAAGTTTGCGATGCAGTGAAGGAGACACCTCAGACCCCATAAAGTATATATATATTCTTTATCAGCATAACGATCTGAATCGAAATACGTCTGTATGTCTGCTCGTCTGTCAGTTTCTATGTACTCTAGTCTCTCAGTTCTAAAACTATCTTTCTGAAACTTTCCCAAAAGTTGTGTAGTTATTGCACGCAGTATATAAGTCGAAACGGGTCGGATCGGGCGACTATATCGGATAGCTCCCATACAAGAGATTGAAATAAAAAATTCTCACGCCGTTGTTTTTGATTAGATCGACTTGATTTCTTTCAGATGGCCTTTTCAAACTACTATTGAGTTTCCGATTAAATTTTATAACTCTATCATATAGCTGCCATAGGAAAGATCAAAAAATTTAAATAAAATTAACGGAAATAAACGGAAAAAAAATATAAAATCGTTGTTTTTCAACGGAAAGTCATAATTTTTTAAATTAAGAGTTTTTGTAACGACTCTTGAATTTCAAATTAAATTTCATAAAAATCGGACGACTATATCATAAAGCTTTTACATGAACAATCGTCGAAGATACAGAAACTTCATAGAAAAATAGACATAGCATCGATGTTGTTTAGCCTCTATGTATTTGGTTCGACATATTTAAATACTGCAAGGGTATATTAGCTTCGGCTTGTCGAAGCTAGCTTCCATTCTTGTTTTTAGTATTTTCGTCCTCATTGTGAATCAATCGGTTAAATTTTATATATTTGTAAGGTAGATTTGGTTAAAAAAATTGTGTTACTTCTAAATCTCTTACTAATATGATTTTTTAGGGCGGTCCACTGGCATCGTACTTGGTTTATATCGATGTACAGCTGATCCCAGCCGAAAGATGTGCCAAACTCCTGAATGTCCCCGTCATTGGGGCCATGGACGACCTATTGTGCGCCATGGACGAAGAAAATACTACCAAACAACAGCCCTGCTACGGGGATTGGGGGTCTCCGTTGATGCACGGCGATATAGTCTATGGAATCGTCAGCAATATCGTTGGATGTGGGTCCGCCAATCTGCCATCTGTTTACACTGATGTCTATAAAATGGTGGATTGGATTGAAGACAAAATCGAGACCTTTAGTGCCGGCGTTTTCTATTTTATTGATTCTTTAGTGCTCTTAGCTGCAGCATTTGCCCATTTAGGATCATTTGTACTTTTTGATTTTGTATAAGAAATTGGAAAAAGGAAAGCCATGTAAAACTTTTTCTGTAAGATTGTCTTCACAAGTATTGTATGTAAGCCTTTATAGCTTTAAAAATTTGTTGCACTACAAGATCAGCAAATTATAAATACTCAATAAAAAACAGTTCATTGTAAAGAAAAGGATTTTAAAAAAATGAATACATTTGTTTAGGCCAAATATCAAATATTTAAAGAAATTCCTTTTTAAGCAGCTTCAAAGGACTTTGAACATTCGCCTCCCTTTCATAGATCTTTGGCAATTGCCAGGGCTTAACTTTAAGCGCTTTAATTGATTTCGGCTCCTCAGTTCTTGTTATGGATTCCGGCTAACACTCGGCTTTGGCTTAACAACTAACCAAATGCCAACAGGAACAGCAGAGGCGAACGCAACAGCAACAATTGCAGATTGTGCTGCACTCACGAGCGGGCAATAAAAAGGGCAACCGACCAGAGAACGACAAGATGTACTCTAGTTGTTATTGCTGCTGTTGTTCGGGCGAAGAGTAAACTTGAAAAATACGAAAAAAAAAAATTGGTTTCTAGGTCAGTAACACTGCCAGAAACACGCGTCTGCAGGCGGATTCTCTCGTCATTTGGCCAATCGGCCACTCGGCCGCCTTTGCAGACGAATGCGTGTGCGCTCGCTCTCATCTCCGGAAACTCTCTCTCCGAGCCGCCCTTTTTAGTACACTGAGAGCACACAGCCTCCGAGGCTCGAGAGAGCCGGACTTTTGTAGCTTTGTCGCCCCGCCGGATTTGGAGTCGCAACCACACCTGCTCAGCATCCAACTCAGTACTCAATCGTGCGCGCGTCAAACAGGACGATTACGGCGGACAGTCGAAAGGATGCTGGCTCTCTAGCGGTCTAGGGAAATCGGAAAATCGGAAAACGCAAGACGGACCCCCAAAACGAACTCAAGAGCGGATCGGGACAAGAACCGAATTCGGTGCGAGTGATAAAAGAAACCGCAAACCAAAAAAAAAAATAAGAAAAGGAAAAGAAAAGAAAAGGAGAAAAAAAAAACCGGACCGAAATCGCGCGCATTAAGTGATAATAAAGTAGCGGCAATCATTTTTAAAATTGTGTGCCAGCTTATGCAAATGTAAAAGTCGCTTAAGAGCCAATTCCCAAATATTTCTCAAGTTTCGCCCCAAAAGAAAAAGCTAAGCAAGAAAAGCCGCAGTTTAAGTGTGCTGTGTGTGACCAAACAACTTACAAGCCAGCAAAAAAAAAGTTGAGGAGGGAAAAAATAAATCTCAAGGACTGGAAGGAATTGTAAGCCGCAAATGAACAGCGACAAATGCTCGACCCTCTTTTTTGTAAGTTGCCAAATTTGTCGAGGCCCCATTGACTGGCTGACTGACTGACTGACTGACTGAATGACTTAGTGACTGACTGACTGAATGACTTAGTAACTCCGTGAGTGCCCCGACCTTTACGTATTGACGAGCATTAATATAAACAGCGGAATTTGTGCTCATTATTTGTGACTTTGGACTTCGTTGGCATGGGAAATTGTCCGATTCAGAGGCAGAAAAATAAATTATCAATTATCGGGGCACTTGTCTTTGATTGCCACGAGTTCTTTACAACTTTGCGGGATATAGGCTAATTACAAGGCAAATATTTGGCATAAAAACATTCAGCGAATGTCATGATCAAAAACGGAATGATAATGATATATTTTTTGGGCACAAACGAGAACAAATATAATCAAGTGTCATATATATAAATTAGAAATGATAGCAAATTGAAAATGCAGATATCCTCAATTATTGGGGAATGGTTACCTTGCCTTTGCGGCATGACATTGGCATACTAATCACCTCATTGAAATGCAAATGAGCTGCCTTATATTATGGATTTTATCTGCGGCCTAATAATTTTCCTGTTACATTTTTATCTCGCCGGATTCGCTAAATACCTGCCATCGTGTTTTGTTTTCCATCCACGGTTCGCACGTGCCCGTCGTCGGGGGAAAAGGAAAACATTGTGGGAGCGCTGCTTTTTCAGATGGGAAAATTTTGAAGGTCTCCGACTCGGGGCGATGCCTATCATCTGGTCGGGATGTAAATTACTGGGGCACTCGCAAAGGTCAGTCCTCGGGATCCGGCTCAGTTTTTCCCAGTATCTCGAATGCTCGGCAACGTGTTAAGTTGCGAATGAATAGAGGCGAGAGTCGGGCGAAAAGTAATCAGCAAGTGGCTACAAAATAATTATTTAATTAACGGAAGTGCCTCCGCAGGACAGCGATGCAGCTTTTTTGCTCCTTTGCCATCTCGACTCCTCTCTGGCCTAAATGCCCATTCATTCGTTTCACTGCCTGTGCCTGTGCCTCGGCCTCCTTTTTGTTTGTCGGCGCCCCTTCTAAATAAGCCAAGTCCCGGCCGACTCAACTCAGTGCCACTTAAACGTCCGTGACGTTCAACTTTAGGCTCCTAATTTAAATTTAATTAAGTGGGATCATTCGTTTAATGGAAACCGGCCGAGTCGCAACTCTTGTCGCGCTTTGCGTTAGTTTTGCCATCGTCATTATAACGAATAAAGTTCCGAGTGGCCAGGGCCTCGAGTCACGGCTATATGAATATTAAGCGTCTGTTAACCTATTTTCTAAATGCGCTAAATAATCCCGTTCGCGATAAGTAAGGCCCCCTTTCGCAAGCCCCGGGACTCGTACTCGTACTCGAATCCGGATCCGGGTCTTCGGACTCTAAACTCTGGACTCTGGACTCCGGGCTCTGGTTTTTATGGGCCCGGCTAAAACAGACACTGAACAGACTGCTGCAACTTTTCACTCAAGTGGTTTTATGTAGATTGCCTCGGTCAATGTTTGCCTAATGAATGAATGGGCCCGGCCCAGTCGCAGGGAAAGGGTTCTCTGCTTGCCGCCCGGGGGATTAGTTACTGTAACAGATATGATTAAAGAGTGGTTAAGCAGCTAAACAAACTTCAAAGGATGGTGTATTTCGAGTGCGGGGGGAACGAACCCAGCAGAAGGGCTTTCTATTATCCTTTCGATTTTAGAGGTAATCTAGTTAGCCGTATTATTTTTGTTCAAAACAATTAGGGGAAAAGCACTGTTGATTTTGAGTAAACAATTCCAAACAAAATGGTATTAAGGAGAATAAGAAAGATTGGAAGTATAAAATATTTCCAATTCAGAATTTGTAATAAATGGCTTGCTCAGTAAACCATTTTGCTATCTACATATTTGTAATGATAAAATCAGTGCATACATCAGTGGAATGAAATGTTTACAGAAACAGTAAAAAACAACTGAAATTGCCTTTCCCCCCAGTAAAAATCAGATATGCCAAGAACCAAGTTATGAATATTTATCCTTGGAAAATACCAAAACCGATTCCCATGTAGGCACACCAAAAATGTTCGGCAGCCAACGTGCACGAAACTGGTACAAATGGGCCAGCTGTGTGCGGCATACCTCAAATAAGCCGATTTAAAAACAATTTCAAAAATTAAACCATTATTAAAGCCCTGGGGAATGCAAACGTGAAAAGCGAAGCAAAAAATGCTCCACCCACATATGTATATAAAACGGCGATCCAAAAATAAAATTCCAATAAGCGTGCGTTTGGTTTGGGGGCGTACGAATTGGGTCGGGAAAAACCAGGGAAAAAAGGCCAAGGGGATGTGGAATACAGGCATTTTCGAGGGGACCCACAGACCGACAGCCAGAGTCACACGGCCAAGCGGGCAGTCAGTCAGTCAGTACTGAGCTCTGCAATTTTAAATAATTAACAATAAAGGGCATAAAACAAAAACGTAAACAAAAATAAAACAGCAAAGGGAGCGAACAAAAAACAACATGCATAAAAGACATTTTAAATAAGCGCAAAATCAGCACAAAAACAGTCAGCGAACCGAAAGGATAACGACTGGGGGATATGCGCCAAGGGGGCGCAAAAGGGGCGTTCGAGGGCTTCAGGTGAAAGGAGGCGTGGCCGGTGAGCCGGGGGGCAGGTGGGTGGCAGAGGTGGAACAGTAACTGCACAAGCTGCTGGCACAGTGACACACTGACAACGCACAAACACAACAGCACGAGTAGTCCGCAGGAGGAGACACACACACACACACACACACAATGAAACACACGCAGGGACACCGCACACCTGCATATAGACAAGGTGTACATATTTGCATACAGTTCACTGGGCACCCACACACATACACACACACGCACACGCACACGAATGCGAGCCTCAGCGGAAAGTGAATGGAACGCGACAGTTGCCAAGTCGGCTGCCATTGTGCCAGGTGCCAGTTGCCAGTTTACCTGTTGCTACAGAGCAAGAAAATACTACCCACTGAAGTGGTCATCAATTATGAAAAGAATGAATTCAAGGAAAAGAATTTTCATATCTGTTCTGCGTTAATATATCGATTTATCAAATTTAAAAATGTTAAATAAAGTAGTACAAATATTTAAAATGTTCAACAAAAAAAAAAGGAAAAATCGTAAAAAGTTTCAGGTTATATTGCTGCTTTCCTTTCACTTAATCTCGTAAATGATAGATATAGCTAGATATTGAGGTGCTAAATATCTAGAAATAAATGTAAGACGTATACTTTGCCTGCAGATCAAACTTCAAGCTTTTAAGAACGTGAAATTTGAGCTGAGAAATCGAAAGTTAAATGGAATTCCATATCTGGAATTTGCAATCCTAATTTGAAAACATAATATCATTACTTAATATTCAATAGAAATTTCGTATAACTCTTAAGTTAATGACTTATGCAGAAGATATATTTTTCTCTGTGTAGATTACAGTTTTCCAGGTGGCAAAGACACGTGCAGGCCAACGCGTGCCAGAGTGAATAGCTTGGGGTGGCTAAAAAGGGGTGGGCTTAAAAAATACATACTAATTTGCCCCAATAAGCAGGAAACGTTTAATTAAGCACACAAAGCCGAAAATTTAAGCGACTTACGCGGACGCAATTTACATGATAACCTAACACAAAATCTCCCGAAAATCTTCTGATATACTATATCTAACATACTTTTGTGATCCTCCCCAAACGCTGACCCGAAAATAAATGCAGGCAGCACAAATTATGCAAATGCTGCGCTAAGTGCGGCAAAATGCTCGCAATGCCAGCGACGACAAGCGAACGCA